CTTAGGCCACTGAGCTAAATTCCCTGGCCCTTGAATTATTTTTAGATATCAGATGCTGTATTACTGTATTTTTAGATATCAGATGCTGTATTTACTGGTCGATGATGCAAAATACCTAAGCCCAAAGTTGGGAAAGGAAAGGTTTATTTCTTACAGTTTTTGGAGGTTTCAGTGCATATTCAGTTGGCTCCAAAGCAGGCTGGCATGGCAGCACCGCATTTCATGGCGGCTGCAAACAGCAAGGCAGAAACTTGCAAGAGAGCAAGACATGCCTTCTTCCTGCCATGACATTGTGTGCTGGCTCCACCTTAGGGGGTGGAGCACTGACACCATCAATCCAAGCACTAGACAATGAACCATCACAAATGCACAATGCAAATGCATGAGGCCTGGAGACCACCAATATAAACCATGACAGATGCAAAATAACAATTGATTCTTGTTTTTTCCGATATGATTAATGATATTCTTAAGAGAATATGTTATTAAATATGACAAAATACCAAGCAAATGATGACTTAATTTTCAAAGAGAAAATCATGACGGTCTAACAAGGATTTATAGATAATAAGTAATATGTCACCAATGTCCTAACAGCTCATTTATACACTATTTATACACTTTAATTAAGGATATTCACTGTCCTCATACCAAACACTGTAGATGTTTTCTTTTTCCATTTTTTAAAAAAAATTTTATTTAAAAGAAAAAAGAGAAAAAGCAAAACAAAGTAGTGTAAGGGTACAAGTAATACAGAAACTACAAAGAAAAAAAAAAACAGTAAGAAATCACCAGTTAATAGATTACACATTATCACCTTAGAGATAGTTGCTCAAGTCACAGTATCAAAGCTTACAAAGTGGACATTCAAACAGTGAGACTGCAAACAGTTGTGTTCAATGATCCAACCAAAATCATTAATATGGTCAGCTATTTAACACCCCTAAACACACTTGCAGTTGTATCCTTTAGAGCACTGTTTTTCCCTCTCTTTTTTACAACAAAATTTACACATTTTGGGTTTTATTACTCCTTAGTTCTTATTACTTTTTTTTTTTTGGAAGAGAATAAAGTCAAATATGGCAAAACAAAGCTGTCAGTCAAAACCAAGGATAGACATAGCACATGATGTAAAAACAGAGTACAGGGTTATCAACAATGGTTACCATAATGCCTCTTGCTTCCTTAAAAAGAATTGTCTATCTCATTAGGTATTATAAAGTTGAACAAAACAGTAGAGAACAAGACCAATAAAACCCAAACATTGTAAATATTACAGGACTTCCAAAGGAGATAATAGTCAAACCAGAATGGGCATCATAGTGAATCTTATTGCCTTCAAAACAGTTGCCTATACCCTCAGACATGATACTATCATACAGAACAGAACAGAGTCTAATCAGTCAAAACAAGATAGTGGGAGTAATACAGGACTTCAAATCAAGTTAATAGGAAATCAAAAAAGTTACTATAATATATCCTGCTAATTTTTTATTTTTCCCTTAATTAAAAAATCATAAAAAATAACTAAATTTTTTTTAATGAATAAGAGAGAGATTGAGATAAAAGAGGACATAACAACATAACAATACAGGTCAAAGCATGACTGTTTTAGCAGCCTAGTGCTTCACCACCAAATAACCCAACTTAATAGTAGTTACCATAGTATCCTTTTCCTTGAAATATTTGAATATAACTTCATATACTATAGCTTCAAATATTTTCATATCAAGCATCCCAGAATAAAGCCATTCCAATTAATAAGTGAAAACTTTATAAGGCTTCAAGGCCACATAATGGGGAATCATGATTACCACATACTTTTATGTATTTGAATCATTACTTACATTAGGGAAACTATTTGGTATTCACACATGCGAGATGTTTTGCTTCCAAGTTTGATTTTTTATATACGGAATGATTAGGAACACCAGGCTGTATTCATATCCATAACTTTATGTTCATTAGAATCACTGCATGCAGTACAAGATTATATTTTATCTATTCATTTTGCTGTAGCATATTTGTTTTGTTTTGTTATTTGTCTTTTTCAGACAAGGTCTCACTGTGCAGTTCAGGCTGGCATTGAGCTCACTTTGTAGCCCAAGTTGGTCTCAAACTTGCATAAACTTCTTCCTTCAGCCTCTTGAGTTCCAGGATTATAGGCATGTGCCACCCCACCTGGCTATAGTATATTTTAAATCAATATCATATGATTTATTTTACCTAACTTTGGCTGTTACTGCAAGATTATAGCTATTTTGAAAAGAGTTGTATTTTGTAGATACATACAGTAGAGATATACAGTAATCAATAAAAGAGATTGACATTATCCAAGCTAAAAACCAAAAGAGAGAAACCAAAATCACTAACATCAGAAATGAAAGAAATAACATCACTATTGGTCCGTGGATAATGAAGAAGCTTTATATGTAGCTCTACATTTACAAGATGATAACCTAACAGAAATGGGACAATTTCTTGACAAAAGATGATGAAATCTTTCACAAAGACAAATAGATAACCTGAATAGTTCTAAGTCTACTAACAAAGTCAGTTTAAAAATTAACAACCTTCTAAAACTGAAAGCACTTGATTTAGTCGTGTTCACTGACCAAACATTTGGGCGAATTATGCTAATGATTTATCAGCAGTCACTTTCAGAAAGTACAAATAGAAGGAATACTTCCAAAGTCACCCTATTAAATTAGCACTACCCTAATTCCAAAACCAGACTATGACAATAAGTGAAAGAAAAAGTCTAGACCAGTATACTCCAAATAGAATCAAACAATTCTCAAAAAGGTTAGCAAACCAAATTTAATGATTCATAAAAGGGATATTATGAAACAGTCAAATGGTATTTACTCTTGGTACACAAGACAGATTTTCCACTCAACAAGCAATCAGTGTGTGCTATCACATCAATAAACAAAGAAAGTCATGTTCTTCATATAATTCAAGAATAGGAGATAAAACATTCCATAAAATGTAGTGTCATACATAATACAAAATCTTAAGAGAATCAAGGATAGATAGAGAAATCTGACAAATTGAGAAAGAACTTCTACAAATAAATAGCAAAGAGAGCAAAATAAGTAACAAAAACAAGAGAAGAAAATAAATAACAAAGAGAACAAAACCACCCTGCAGATCACATTACATTAATGAAAAATCATAAGCTTTCCTGACAATATTAGGAGCCAAGCGAGGACACCAACTTCACGACTTCTTGACAGCGCTATACTGGGACTTCCACAAAATGCAGTAAGAAAAGGAAATAGAAACACGTAAAGGGGAAATGTTATTTTCTTTCTCAGACACATGATTGTCTTAGTGTGTAATTTCAAAGAAATTACCGAGCAAAAAGACCTAGAACTAACAAGTGATTATGGCAAAGTTGCATCATTCAACAAAAGAAACAATTAAAATTAGTTACTTCTGAAAGTAAAAGATGCTGACAAGAGGAGGAAACAATAGCCACAGACTTACAGGAAGCACTTGTAAAATGCAGATCTAAGTAAAAGCTAACTCAAAATACATAAAAATTCTTGAAACTCAAAAATAGAAAGACAACCAAATTTTAAAACATTGACAAATAACCAAGGCAGACTAATCTGTTACACTCTGCCTTATCAGACTGGTCTGGTTAACCTACCCGAGGTTAAGAAGCTACAGACATGCCAAATAAACTTAAAAACTGATGCTCAGCATTATATATCACTGTAGAGTGGCACATTAAAATAATGAGTTACTATTTGTATTACTTTTTTTACTGTTTGGACAAAAGACTGAGAAAATAAAGAAATACTATGATTGTCACATTTTATAATTGATATTTGTGAAGAACTTGAAACTGATCAAACTGAACTGGCATTATAGATGATAGAATTATCCAAAGATTTCTTTCAAGGGGGTATCAAAAAGAACTTTGTCTAAATTCAGTTATAGTTTACTTTCTAATTATTTTAAAGTCATTTTTAATTTAAATACCTTTATTTTGAACTATAATATTTGTAGAAAATATAAAAGAATCATATCTTTATATTTTCTTAATGAATGTCATATTCCATCTTACATATTTCTTCAAAATAAAAATATTCAAAAAGTTATACTAGAAAAACTAATGGATAGTGATCCATTAAAGAAATAAAATTATAAAATATCACAATTTATATTATATGAAGTTGCTTTTGAAAATCTATGAGTAATATTCCATTTGAAATAGTTAAAAAATTGTAACAAAACAAAATGGATCAAGGCAATAGTTACAAACATAAAAATTAAAAATTCCTGTCCCTAAAAGTGGCTGTTTTCTTTGTAAACAGCAATTGGCAGGCTAATGAGAATGTGGTGACATTTTATTCCTTCAGAATCTAATCAATTTAAAAATTATAAAATTAAATACTAACACATTTTGGTGAATTTGAGTTCATGTATTGTGGATATATCACACATTGATTTTCTTTTAAGAAAATAATAATGAAATAAAATTATAAATTTTAAGATATAAAAATAAAATATAAAAAAATTTTAAGTGATTAAAATAGATAAGACATTGAGAAGAAATAAAAAAATTTTGCATTAGGTTACATTTACTTTTGGAAACTTCTATAAAAACAACATAAAAATTCTCTAACATGTTAACATGTTTTTAAAGTACTATGTAAAATATTTTACAGTTCTACGTTTTCATTAAAGTATAAGAGACAGAATGAAACATGGTTGTTGGTTTTTAAGAAGGATAAATGTTTTAAATTTAACATACGGTACTAATTCATAATTTGTGATGCTTACAATAAATTCAGTAAAAATCTAATGCAATCCATTGATCAGTGCTGGATTAACTCACTTCAATTTTTGTATTAATCAGCTAGACATAAGCAAGACTAGTTCCAAAGAAACACAGGTCCTCAGTCCTCTCAAACAGGACAATCATTTCTGTTGGATTGTCCAGAACAATAAATGAAACTTAAAATACTAAAGTAAAATTTACTTACCCCATTCCCTTTACATTTTTCAGTGGCATTACAGTTAAATCCTACTAAATGAGCTTCTCTGCAGGTTTTATTTATACAATACTAAAATGAAACAAAATATTTGACAATCATTCTCACGTTCCATGCAAAGTGAGAAAAACATTCATGGCACAATTGTTGCATATGCATAAGAGATGCACAAGTTAAAAAGCACCACCACTCCTATAATTCTGGTACAAATATTCAGGTTATAAAATCTTGGCAGTAATAATTTCAAGAAAGAATCTGACAGTGTTTACTTTGCCAGGGTTTATGTAAAGATCACATATAATTTTGATTTTGATATCTACAGCTAGGATTGATTTGAAGTCTGCATCAGAGCTTTCTATATTATGTTTATATTTTGTTATAATTAGACAATGCTAACATTTCTTCCTTTGAAAAAATGAATTATGTATAGATTTCAAATTAATAAATTAGGGCCAGGGATTTAGCTCAGTGGCATAAGCACCTGCCTGGCAAGTGTGAGGTCTAATTAATTAATTAATTATTTAGAAAGTAACCATACAAAAACAAAACACTATAGTTTAAAAAAATAACCATACAAAAAACAAAACACTACAGTTTTAAACAAAACAAATTAGTAAATTATTGTGAATCTCTGTCAAATATTTATCAGAATAATTTGGTAAGAGAAATACATTAACTTTTTTATGCATTGTAAAACCACATCCTGTCAAAGTAAGTAACTGGTGTAATTAGTTACTTGAGTTTGCGGATTTTTATGCCTTATTAACCTTTCTCTACTTTAAGTAGTTTTGGAGCTTTCTTAGAAATATCAGGATAGAGTACAACTAACTCACATTTTGAAGATGTGAAATGTGAATGAAAATTAACTCTTTAGAATTATTTCCTCAAAATTAATATACAGTCAATAAGATAACTGTAATTTGTGTAGCCAATGCATCTTTGCTCCTTATATTCAACATAATGTTAGATACCCTAGCTTATTAGACAAGAAAAAAGGAATGGCATCAAAATTACAAAGGAAAAAGTAAGATTTCTATTCACAGATGACATGATCGTAAGTGCAGATGATTTTACATGTTAGAAAAAATTAAAGACCCAAATTTGATATATAATGAATTAAGGAATTGAGCAGGATAAATATTAGCATGCAAAACTCAGCTCTATTTCTACAAAAGACAATGAACAATCTAAAAAGGAAATTTAAAAATTCACTTACAATAGCATCAGACTATTTAGCAATAAAAACCAAAGAAAGGAAAGGCACACGGTGAGAACCCAAAACAATGCTGAAAAACATTAAAGAAGGTCTAAATAATTCAAAGGTAACTTGTGTTCACGGTTTGAAACACAGTATCACTAAGGTGAGAATTAGAGAATTTACAGTCAATATAGTTTCTATAAAATCCTAATGGCAGTTTTTAAAATTAAAGGTTCATATGGAAGCTCAAAAACCACAAATTAACAAAATAGCCTGGAAAAAGAAGAAAAAAACTTGAGTTCACAATTACTGATTTTAAAACAACAAAATCATCATACTAAATTCAGTGTGGACCTGGCATAAAGACAGACATACTGAACAGTGAGACAGATTACAAAGTATGGAAACAAACCAACTTAATGTGGCCACGATTTATGAGATTCCCAAAACTGTTTAGCGGGGATATGAATTATCTTTTTAATAAAATGAGTGGAGGAACCTGGGTATTGATATGAAAGTAAGTGAAACTGGAAATTTATTTTTAACATCATAAGCAAAACTAATGAGAGATGGGTCAAATTTTTGAATATAAAAGCTAAAACTACTGAACTTTTGAATGAAAATATAAGGAAAAATTTTCACAACACTGGATTTAGCAGTGACTGCTTTGAAATAATTCAAAATCATAAGCAATTCAAGAAAATAATAGAGAAACTGAACTTAATGAAAACTTAAAAGAATGTTTTGTGAGTCTTATAGACATTATCAAAAGGCTGAAAAGGCAGCACACATTGTGAGAGAAAATGCTAGCAAATCATATATATGATAAGGGATTAATAGCTAGTATATGTACAAAGATCAAAAACAGCAAATCCATTAAAAATGAGCCAATAATTTAATATATATTTATATCTTCAGAGAAGAAATATGATGGCCAGTATGCACTTGAAAAATGCTTACCATCACTAATCATTGATGAAACACAAAAGTAAAAGACAAGTACTATCTACTGTCTACCCAGAAGGATAACTATTATTAGAAAGAAAGCCAAACTGCAGAACATGAGAAGCTTTCACAAGACATTATGAGATATTAGGACCCTGGTGCACTGTTAGTGAGAATCTAAAGTGGTACGGCCACTGTTGAAAGTAGTGTGTGCCTGTGCCTCAAAAAGTTCAGCACAGAGTTACGAGATGTGTTGGCAAATTCTTATTTAGATATACCACTGTCTTCTAACATAATCTAGAGACATCCAGGAGTCTCATTCTCTTTGCTAGAAAAAGAGTCATGATTGATTCCTGGTACCTCCCAAAATGGTGCTAGAAAACTCATGAGATGTAGCCCACAGACATTGGGAGCAGATGACCCACAGTAGTGAACTTCAGGATGTGGGGCTATTTGGAGGCATTTTGCAGGCTGCCATGACAAGCAAGTTTCAAGCAAGGGAACAGGATTGTTGGTTTCAGTTTTAAAAACTGGCTGCTTGCTGTGGGTGGAGAAACTCAGGAGACTGAGACAGGCAACAGAAGTCACCTCAAGCAGGGTTAATGTTCTCTCTCCTCATACTGTTCTCTACTGTATTTCACTTTGTTTCATATTCTTTTGGTTAACAAATACAGAGCTCAAAATGGACTAACCTTATTCACATGGAACCTTATGGGAAAATTTGATTTTGTTCTTGGCCAATTTGGTTTATGAACAGACTCATAAAAGAAATTAATTTCATGAACTAAGACATCACTGTAAATGCATCACTAGGTTCAATTCCATTCTATATAACTGGAGAAGTTACCATGGAATGTAATCCATGGTAACATAACACTAGTAAGTATAAAATGTCACATTTTGTTACCATTTGTGGGCCACACACAGTGCCATCAGTCACATAGGCATCGTCTCTCCCATCTGATCTCAAAGAAGTCCCAGGAATTATGGACAGACATTCATAATTGTGGATATATAAATAAACTGTAGATCTAATAGCACTTTTATTAGTGTCCTTATGTGGCTGGACACAGGCTAACTTTCCACAGAGAACATCCCTGGGGATGGAAAGCAGAAAATTTATCATTTTACTTTTAAATGATATCAGTTTCCATTTAAGTGTTGCATTGATGGGAACACCAGTGTTGTTTTACTGATGTTATAAAATCAGAAACATTCCACAATTAAAACATTGTGGGTCCACAAAATGAAACATCTTACAAACAACCAAAAGCAGCTTGATTAATATTGTGACAGAACTGAAATGTATGCACTGATCTCAGATGTACAACAGAGCTCACCTTTGTTCTATAACCTCCAGTTGTCTTAAAAGCACTGATCATATTTACTATATACTTTTCCAGTAGTCACCACTTGTACCTGTTTTGGTACACCTTGACCCATGAGTTTGGTGACTCATTATCTAAAATTTGCAGAATACCTAATTGCATTTATTCTTTTATCATCCTTTGATTGTGCCAGTGGTCCCTTCTTGTCACTTCTGATTGTGCGTATGGTCCCTTTTGATTGTTCCTTTGGTCCATTCTAATTAAGGCTATTGACCTTTGTCATTATCTCTAGACAGTATGGTTCTGTAGTATATCAATCAATCCCAGATTTCTTCTAAAATACAGAGATTTCCAATAGGTATACATTTATTTCTTGAAAATTTAAGAACTTTCAGATATCCTCCATGCTACAAGCCCACTGAAGTTAATCCACAGATGTTTATACTTCCCCCTGATGTAATTGGGTAGACATCACCAAAGTGCTTATAGTATTCCTTTACTATTTCCTAGAAAATAATATGTCACTTCTCAATCTTGGAATCTCTGAAGCAGAGCTACTGAGTATCATTCTTTATGGAAGCAATAGTTTTAATCAGTGGTATATGTCTACTGGACATATCATTATTTTTTCCACCAGGCTTTTTGTCCTAAAATACTTTGTAGACATTTTTACTCTTACAGGGAGGTTAGCTTAACAACATTAAAAAGTGACATTTGAAACAAGATGGAGAAGCAAAACATGAACCACTTTCTAAACTTTTCCTTCTCTCATAATTTTTTCTGCTTTTTTAGATCTCAACATTTCTTTTTATTTTGGCTCCATTTTCTTTGAATTAAGTATATTTTATTTTACTTTTGCTTGCCTTGATTTTGCAGTACTGGAGATTAATCCCAGGGCCTTTTATCTGTCATGCAAGCAATCTATCACTGAATTTCATCAAAATATATTTTAAACTAGCTTTGCATGGAATGTCTTCTGCTAGTCCAACAATGAAGTTTAACCTCTTCTCTCCAGACCATTTCTCACAATTTGAGTCTATGCGCTGTTCAAATGAAATATTTTTGCTGTCAACAATTCTTTGTTTCAGAAATCAAGATACTGCTTTGGGATTATTGCCTTTAAGAAATTTGGCTCAAAGCTTAATTTTAATTCTCACTAAAGAGCAAAAGTCCTGATTTTTGGCAGTTTGCACTTGCTTCCTTTCTCTGATAATTTTATCTAGTCTCATTCTTAGAACTGTATTAGGGGAGAAGGAGTAAAAAGAAAACAGACTTGAATGGTTGAGAACTGTATATATTTGTATTTGAAAATATTATTCCATTATATATTTATTGTTAATTATTGTTTAATGTCTTTTGACTAGAAATGTGTAGATTTTATGATTCATGGAAACAATCATTTTCTATATACGTACTTCTGTTCACAAGGTAATGGCTGTGAATTTTTAAAACCACAGTTTCCAGATCTCTCTTGTGGAGAATTAACTTCTTTGAAGCAGACACGAGGAGCACCGTGAGCACCTTAAAATGCAAATATGTCAATTTGGGTTAGCATGTGTACTCCAAATTAAATGCTTGTCAATAATACAATAATGAGACTTATTTCAAAACATTAGCAATTATGTATTTGTTTGTGCCTTGTTTTCCCTCTGTACTCCATCAACACAAATGGAAAGAAACAACAGTTTTATCTTACAACACAGTAAAAGATCATCCTATCATAGTTGTTGCAAGAAAGAGTCAACAGTAGCAAGGAGCTCAGAAGATGACAGGAAATTTTATTAATGTCAGTGGACCCTAGAGGAATAATCTTCAAAGTCTGAGGCACTAATTATAGAGAGTTTGTCTTTCATATAGGGTGGCAAACAGAAGTTTCAAAAACTAGATAAGCTTTAGATGTTGGTTATGATACAACTGGTGTCTTGCAGTGAGCATAGTTACATGTAGCAAAATCTGTTTTTAGGATATTTATAGGAGTTTTAATTTGTTGACAAATTATATGATTGATCTGAGTTCAGCGGCAGAAAACACAATGGCTGCAACTTTGTTGAACAAAATGGCTGTAGTTAACTAGGGATTTCTGTTTTATGGTAAGTTATATTAAAATAATTGGCTGTCCCTCCTGTGGGAACACTTACTTTCTATTCTAACAGGTCTTGTAATTAGCTGTCTCGGTTACTTTCCTCTCCTTGCTAAGCCAACATGCTCAAACCCAAAATTAAGAAAGGAAAAGTTTATTTAGCTTACAGTTTTTGGAGATTTCAGTCTGTACTCAGCTGGCTCCAAGCCAGGGTGTAGTGGCTGAGGGGAAGCTGTTCATGGTGGCTGTAGCAGATACCAAAAGCAGCAAGAACAAAAGGCCATAAAGGGAAAGGCACACCTTTTCCTCTCCCTTATATTGTATGTAGTATGTAGTACTCACATTGCCAAATCCAGTGCTAGACAATGAACCACTCACAAATGGTAAATTCAGCCATCTCCATGACTACATGAGGCTTTGGTGGAAGAGGACATTTAAACATAACCATAACATTCCATTCCTGGCCACATTCCTTTATGGAAAGACATTTGGTCTATCTGAAAGAATTGCCAAAATCCTATCCGTTTCAGCACTGTTGAAAAGATCAAGTCCCAAGTCTCCTCCGAGATTTAAGGCAAACTCTTAGTTATAACCAAAATAAAGTTAAACACTTCCAACATTCAATGGCACAAGATAAACATTACCAATTCAAAAGGTACAAATGGGGATACAAAGCATTGGAACCAAAGCAAGTCCAAAATCCAGCAGAGCAAACATTAAGTCCTGTAATTCCATGTGGAAAGTCTGAAGCAATCTGTGATAAATAGTGATAAATTGTGAAGAAATTGTACTTCTGGTGGTTGTAGCTCCCAAGCTTCTCTCTTGAGTTGACTTTGCTCCTTCCTTGCAGGTTTCCTTGGAAGATCCACACTCCTGGCTTTTACTTCTGGGATCTCCAATGCACCTTTGGCTTCATATACTGCCCTGTCAGGGGCACACTGCCTGGATCTCAGGCCTTCTGAAATTGGGGTGGAGACCTTTTTATCCTCAGAACTCTTGCATTCTGTATGCACCATGTGGATGGTGCTAGTTTGAACAGTTGGAACAGTATTCGGGCTTTCCTCTCTTTTAGCTGTAGGGATGGAATACCTGAATTTGAATCTGATTCTGAAGAACAATTTTCTACGCTGCAGTTCTGTAACCTGATGCAGTTGCTGTCATTTGGGGACCTCATGTGGCATCTGTCGCCATTCTGGAACATGGTTCTCTGCAGCTTTCTCCTTAAATCCAACTCTTTAACTTTTGCAATGTTGAGTTTGCAAAGCATGGGGACGTGCTGCTGCTTGTGATGCCCTAGGGCCATCTTTTTTGTTCTCCTCTTCCTTCTCAACAATAGAGATTTCAGTTTTATCTTTGTAGTCCACAACTTTACTGTACCTTTTTTTCTGTCCAAACTTTACAACATTTTAAATCATCCTGTTGGGCTCCTTGCTCTTGATTTGCTATGTAAATCTGGGTAAAAGTCCCAAGCAATAGTCATGCCACTGCCTCAACATTTGCCTGCCTTGAAATTTATTTTGATGGATTAATTAGTCCATTGCTCTTTATCTAAGTCTCAGGTAAATTTTTTGAACACAAGCAAAATACAGACAAACTTTCTGCCAACCCATAATACACACTGTCATGAGTTTAAAAACTTATGCAGTACTTCTTCCTGGCAGAAACCTCTCAAGCCAGGTATTTACTGATTTTATGGTCTTCTGAACTCTAATCAGAATCTCTCATATAGAACGTTCTAAACTATGCCAGCTCTACGCTTTCAAGTGCCACCTCTAAGTCTTTCCAAATTCTTCCCACAAGCCGTTCCCAAAGGTTCTCAAACCACCAGGTCAGATATAACAACAGCAACCTCTGGTACCAGATTCTGTTTTGGTTACTGTTCTCTCCTTGATGAGACAAAATACCCAACACTCAAAGTTAAGGAAGGAAAAGTTTATTTAGTTCACAGCTTGTGGAGGTTTCAGTCCATAATCAACAGGCTCCAAGGCAGAGTGACACATGTCAGAGGACCACAGTTCATGGCAGCAGAAAATAGCACAAGCAACAAAAGCAAAAACAGAAGAGCATAAAGAGGAGACTTTCTATTTCCCTTATATTGTAGGTCACACTCCCTTGGGTGTGGCACTCACACACATAATCCTAGCACTGGACCATGAGTCTTTCACAAACTCTAGAAGCCTGCTTCCTTAACTGAGGTTTCAGGGTCATATCCAGACTCAAATCATACCTTAATGAGATGAGAAATTTAAAGTAAATCAATTTCAAGGGCAGAAACCTTTGAAACTAGTACATAATTCATCATGTCTTTTCTTTACCCTCTCTGATGGGAGGGACCAGCAATTTTATAAGCATGGGCTAATGTCTCAGGATAGGTATCAGAGTGAAGTAATAAGGGATATCAAATAGCTGAATTAAATGCATAAAGCTCAGAGATTTGGAGATTAATTCTATTTCATTAACACAAGAATGGAAACCTAGAAATATAATGCTACTCTCAAATATCCCTATAATCTTGGTGCTGGCATTGGATCCTGGCAGTAGATAGTGAGTAAATTAATATCAGAGGCCATGGAGTGGGCAATCCATGCTCTGTGAAGACAAAGCATTTGAAGAACCATTCTTCTCCAGCTTTTAAGAACATGACCTTGATGAACACGCAAAGAGGTAACAAAAGAGGATGCATCTTGGTTACTCTTGTCTAAATTTGTCCAGATAGGTCAATTACTCAAAAACTAGATGAGCAGAACTCAGAAAAAAATTAGCTATCTGAAGTCTGGACAGAAATCAAATACAAAAAGTCAATAAGCAGATCTCTCTTGTAGTGCTGACATGGATGATAATTCCTCCTGACTGTACATTGGTCCAGTCACTACATATTTTTGGTTTATCTGTGCCTTTCATGGGAGCTATTTGACGGGTGTCAACCTGTGGATTAATACACAGTTTCACATTTCTTGATTGTTTCCATCTGTCTGTGTATATATTTCTACCTCAGAACTTCTGTTCCTTATCATCCAGTCATTGTAAATCCAGGTTCTCCATCAAGCAGCTGGGTCTTCTGTCACTTCTTAAGTGGAAGGACGTCTATTGTCCAAGCTGTGACCATACCCAAGACAGAGCAGGTGAACTGGTAGTCAGTATCTTCCAGGACATCCCCTGTGCAGCTCCCCTTCTCTTTTACCCTCTGTGCCAGCCTGTATGAGAAAGCATGGTTTGCTCTTGTGTCACCTGGCCCTGCCAGCGTCTCATAGGCCCATAGGTGTGAGGTGAGAGCAAGAGAAATGCTGTAAGAAGGGAGAATAGTGCACTGTTCAAGGATTCTGACCTATGGATTTTTCTTTTGTATGTTTTTAGCATATGCTTGGAGAAAGAAAAATTGGTGGATCTGACATAACTGAGCTTATAATATACCGATCTGAATACATGGCCAAAGTCAGTCTGTAGTACTTCAAGTCTGGTTTGTTAAAAGGATGCCCTACTCCAAGTCAGATGGTGACCTTACTGTACCATACCACGAGTTCCACTGCTGTTCTCTCCAACAGGTTTGCTATGGTCTCTACAATGGCATTTGTTTTCATAACCTAACACCTCTTACATTATCAGTTCTTTTGTGATGTATCCTCCAAAGGTTAGAAATCTGACTTACTCTTTTGCCTTGTGGGAGTGTAAAGTGTCAAGCCTACCTCTAACTGCTGAATTCTCTGTTCAATCCTAACTGTTTTCTGTTACAGGCCCTTGAATACTGCTAGCATCTGCTGACTGCGCTCTTCAGGGCATGAGTTTTACCCAGTCTTCAGCACGCTAGCTGTATTTCACTCATATATCTTAATAGCACAGCACTGAGGGAGTGTATCACTGAGGCATTTTCTAGGGTGTTCAAATCTATGCTATGAGCATCAATGCCAATTCAGACATCGTTTCCACCAGTTTTTAAAGTGCTTGAGTGTTTCCTTTTCCTCAGTAAAGAGACCATAATTAAATGAATGCAGGTTCATTTGAAACATGGTAGGGAATGTTAATTGCATATTTGATAAGACAAAATGAGTTTTATTTGGGCCTTAGATTTCTCTTGTTAATATATTCTGGTTCTAAAATTTCATTTAAATTCAGAGTTTAGAGATAGGATTATGGCATTTGTTTAAGTAGCTTTGTTCAGCCTCCTGATCATCCACTTGCTATTGCCTCTGACAGAACAAACTGAGTGGTATCCTCACTGGTTACTCTCAGAACACAGGGAAGTCACAGTCTGTTAACTACCTCCTTAGTCCTCTGTAGGTACAGCACTCATGCCTGTTACTCCATCTCTATTCTTTACCACAATAATCTCAGCCACCTGCTTTAAGATGGTAGTTAAGCACAGCTATTGAGCTTACAACTTTTTTGGAATATGTTTTGTCTCCTGCCTTAAAGGTCTAGTGCATTTTTGTCTCTCTGTCATGTGTCTCAATTGTATTTTCAGCTAGCATCCAGGAGGGGTGAGGAGAAAATTCTGATGACACAATTTGTGTTGAATGAGAAGCTTCTGTATTATCTTCAGGTCAGAGAAACATATTTATACCTTCCTAAACTAGTAGAGGCAAGAGAGAAAAAAGATTAATTCATTCTATAAAGTCAAAAGTTTCACAAACTTCTGGAGCTTCAAACTTTGGGGCTCGTATTTTCAACTACCCCTATCCAAGTGCAGGTCCTACTCTTTTCCCATTTATAGCTTTAGCACACATACACAGAATAGACCTGATAAAGAATTAATCTTTAGTGTGCCTTAAGCTTGGCATCTTTTTTATCTCAGTTTTTAAGAGATAAGTGAGTCTTTTTTTTTAAGTTGGTAGGGGAGACTTTTGGGCCTGTCTTAGTTACTTTTCTCACTGCTGAGACAAAATACCCGAGACATGAAGTTAAAGGAGGAAAAGTTTATTTGGCCCACAGTTGTAGAGGCTTCAATACATAATTGGCTGGTTCCAAGACAGAGTGGCACAAAGAAAAGGGGCAACAGCTCATGGTTGCAGAAACATCAAAAGTATTAAGACAGAGATGCAGCACTCTTTCTGTCTCTTACATTGTATACAAGATACCACCATATGCAGCATTTGAGGCAATCTGTAGCCAAATGTGAACTCCAAAGGACCCGAGTGGCTCTGACCCTACTGCACTTCCTGTGGTGGTAGCTCTATGGCTTTTCTCTTGGTTCCACTCTGATAAATCCTAGCTGTTTTTTTTCATATGACCCACTTTTCTGGCTTCTCCAAACTTCTGGAGTTTCCACTGAATCTTTGGTTTTATATACTGCCCTCTCAGGGGTACACTGCCTGACCTCCCAGGCCTTCTCCTGAAATCTGGGTGGAAGCCTTCCTGACCCCATAAATCTTGCATTCTTCATGTGCCTAAAACCAGCAGTAAGTGAATAATGCCAATTCTGCTGCCAACTAGAGCAGTAGCCAGTTTTCCCTCTCTTGGCTGTACAGATTGAGTACCTGGACCATTGAGCATTCCGAATCCAATTCTGAGGAACAAATTATTTATTCCCCTGTTATTCTGGAATGTGTCTTTCAGTTGACATCTCCAAACCTTTCTTAACTCTTCCCATTTCCCTAAGGTATAGTCATGGTCAGGTATAGCCATGGCCAACCCACTTATCTGGTACCAAATTTCATCTTAGTTACTCTTCTCATTGCTGAGACAAAACACCCAACCATGGAAGAAAAAAAAATACCTACAGGCAAGAAGCAAATGAATGAAAGAATCAAAAAAGTTCACTCTGTTCTATCAGTTTTGTGAAAATATTGTAGCATACACTACAGGGAGAAACACATATAACTCATTTACTCTTTCTTAAATGTACTACTTCAATTAAAATTCAAAAATATGTCAAATTCAAGTAATTCAATTCTGGATCAAGGATTTTTTACATTTAGTAAAATATAGTCAGAGGGAGAGGGTGAGAGAGAGAGGCAGAGAGAGATATTTTCCTTTTGAAAGTACTTTCTAACTTTATTTTCATTTTAAAAACAAAAAGAATAAAATAATATAGAATTTCAAAATAAAATAATAGGAGGTTAACACTGGTTAATATATTGTGTATTGTTATCTGCAAAGTAGTTGTTCAGATTACAAGATGTAGGCTTCAGAAACATGATCAAACAGGTGTACAATGAGCACAAACTGTTCTTTTTGATGAACTAATTAGTAGTATAGTTATCTATCATGTATATATTAACTTTAAGAGTTGTTTTAAACACTGATGTAAAGCTATTATGCTAATAACAAATAATAATCAAATATACACCAGTATCAAACACAGACACATACATTTCCAAAAAGTAGCACCCTAAAAATAGCATGCATAAAAAACACTGAACTTAGATTTAACAAATTATAGGTCTTTAGATCAGGTCTTTTGAACTTTGATTAAGTTATGTAATCTGAAATTTATTGCTAAAGACATGTTTGAAAAACTGGAAAGATAATGTGGATCATATACATGATACATAGAACAAGATATACTTCTTAGCATATTGTTGTACACATAATTGAAATTCACTGTTACACTACCTTTATTCAATTAAAATGTTTATATTCTAGCATATGTCATTGAGTACATGTTATATATTCAAATAATTTTAATCCTAAAATACTAAGGTATGATGAATAATCTCATTGAAATGCAAGTATATGTGCACAATTCTCATTTGAATTACTTTCAAAAGTTAATTGAGAATTTATCAACATGAATTTTGATTAGGCGATGTACGACTACTTGTATCCTAGGTCATTTTCTGTGAGGAAATTGTGATTACGTATGAATGAAATCTGCCGTGAGCTTCGTATTTCATGGAATCTAAATGAGATTGTAAATGTGATTAGTAAAAGAAAACTAAGTAAATTTCCAGAAATAAATGATTTGCTACAAATATCTTTATATCAATTATGAGCTATAAAAATAATGGATTTTTGTCCAAATAGCTAACTACCACAGCCAAATATCAAATCATAAGTGAAGAACTGAACAGCATTATTTTTGGAATGTATTAAGTACTCCTATAACTGCAAAACTTTGCCATCTTTAATTCAAATTTCATTTTTTATTAAGATTGTGGTCCAAGTTCTTTCATACGTGGAGGCGTGTGGTATATAGTATAATCTACAGGTAAATCAAAATTTAAGTTAAAAAGAACTATAAAAGAAAGACCAATACCTTTTCCAAATATCTCAGCACACTGGTTATCAAGAGTTTGACATCTTCCATGGTAACAGTACGCTGTTCCTAACCGGCACAAATTGCCATTCAATGCATAAGTGTCAGGAACACACTGACTCGAAGTCCCATTGCAATACTCTGTGAAGTCACATTCCTGGTCAATGCTCTTTCTACAGGGAGTGCCTGCTTCTGACAACTAGGCAGGAAAGAAAAGGAAATCATCATCTGTGGGTGAGTTTTCTCAATTTCCTATTTTTGATATTTATAATAAAACAGGTCTTGTTATCTATCATTGAGGTAATAACAGATGTTTTTGTTTTCATCCAAAATGTTTCCTCAAACTCTCATGTGTTTGGTGGGGGCCTGGAACATGCATGCATTATCTTCATGAGTGTATTCATCCATTGACAAGTTCAGTAGCTGAATGTGCTCTTAGGAGGTGGGGCCTGGTTAGAGGAGGGATCACTGCAGGAATGACCTGGAAGGGTGTATTCTTATCCTGTTCCTTCCTCTTCTTTCTGGCTGCCAGGAGGTAAGCGCCTCTCCTATACCATGCCCTTCCACCATGTGTTTCTGCCTTTTTTTCAGCCACCTGTGACTGAGCCCACTGTTGCCCAAGAGATCAATGAACTTTTTCTCTCTTAAGCTGTGGGCATTGGGTATTGAGTACCATCAATGGCAAAGTGGCTAATATAGCAGGGTTCCCAAGGCCAAGAATTCTCCAAAGGAAAACCTGGGGACAGTACCACTGTGAAGCCCAGAGAAGAGCAAATCCGACAAAGACTGCCAAAACCCCAAAAGCATGCTGACCTTCCCCACTTCTGCTCCACAGTGAGGAACGGCTGGAACTGCACCTGTTCCTGGACATAGGAGGATCACTGGCTTTGCCTGTGTGCCCCTAGAGAGTCCTTCTTTCTAGTTTAATTGTGTGGGTGAGACTCACAATGTCTCTCTTTCACATTTGTAAAGCTGGGATGACAGACATTCTCAGAGAGTTCTTTATTGATTTGTTTACTTGGTTTTTAACATGGCTACTGGTATGTTGGACACCTGGTCTCAAATTCCTCAGCCTCCTGAGTGCCAGGACTCCAGATATTCACTGTGACGCACAGCTTCCATGAATTCTCATGAATATTAGATGATTTAATGGAAGAAGTGTTTAGACTACTACACAACAGAAACATGCTGATCAGTATCACTGTCATTCTAATTATGCATAGCTGCGTGCCTGTGAGCTTTGCTGCATAGGTCACACAGAGCATAATGACTACTACATGCTTATTTCAAACTGAACAAAATGAATCATCCATGGCTTCCTTGGTGAAGTTGATAGCAGCCAGATGCAAAGTTGTGCACACCTTGGAATCACAAACACAGACACACTGCAGTATGAATGAATCTCAAATGCCTTACATCTAATTCATATTTTAAGCATATTACCTGATTCACTTTATATGACATTTCTCTAAAAGCAAAATCTTAGAGGCTGATAACAAGAGTTGTTGATGGATAGTTAAGAAAAAAATAGAAAGGGAGATTTTCAGAAGATGATGGTGTGTTGGTTACTTTTCTCTTGTTGCTGGGACAAAACACCCAACATCCAAAATAAAGGAAGGAAAGGTTTATTGAGCTCACTGTTTGTGGAGGTTTCAGTCCATAATCGTCTGGCACCAAGGCACGCTGGCATAGCACTGGGGCAACACTTTAAGGCAGCAGCCAGAGTAAAATGCTGTACAGAGATCACTCCAACCCTGCCTCCAGGCTGACGAATCACTCACAAAATCTCTGTGCCCTCCTCTTGTTCAGGATGAGGATGTTTACAAAGTATGGATCCTGGATCCCTGTTGATTCTCTTAGTTAAACTTCTTAATTTCTCAAGTTAACACAGTGTATCAAACATAACAGGTGGATTGTCTTACTCTCCACTACTATGTAGCTGAAAGCTTGAGTGTTTGTTACAACCCTTAGAAGCCTCACCAACACAGTTTTACTGTATCAAATTAGAACTTGAAGATAAAATTGGAAAAAAGTATATGTGACAGTTATGTATAAGTGATTTTCTAGAACTGGAAAGACAGCTTCATATTACAAAACTTGTTTTCCTATCCAATTATATTATGTTGGATATAATTATATTGGAGATAGCATTGCATAGTACATTATATTAGTACCCAACCCACATTTGGTAACTTTTGTACAACATACAATTCTTTCTGTAACAATTCCAAGTAATACTTTTGCTCCTACCATGTTTGTAATTTGCCATGTACTAATGAATAGGTGAGCTTTTTGTATATCATGCACATTGTGCATTTTGTCAGAAACATATGCTCTAATTTTTCCATGGTCATTCATTTTTTAAATTTATGCTTTGAGTGTAAATATTTTTGGTTTAGTAGTGTGAATGGTAATGGAAATATGGTATATATGTACAACGGAGAAGGGCGAGGAGGTGAAAATTACCAAACTATGTTATGTGCATATACAAGTCTGCTAAAACGAAACCCATTAATCTGCATAGCACTGAGGAAACGTGAAAAAAGGAAGAATACACAAAGTGGAATAGCTTTCCACCATAAAGATGAATTACATTGTGTCACTCAGGAAAAATGGATGGGACTACAGAATGTCATTTCAGGGAATAAGCAGGGCTTGGAAAATTCATTATTACATGTCTTCTCATATCAGAAACCCACATAACACACAAATAAAGTAAAGGAAAGCTGACAGAAAAATAGGTGAGAAGAAAGCTCAAGCGGGGAGAAATGTAAGAGCAACGCTATGTGCTTGAGACTGAACAAGCCATGTTACATGTATGAACCTGTTCTCCACATGAACCTCACTGTTCTACATCACTAATAAAAATAGTGTATAAGATGTTACAATTCGTGTTTTCAACACTATAGAATAATCAGTACCAGCGGCTGGGGATTTGGCTCAGCGGCGTAAGCGCCTGCCTTGCAAGTGTGTGGTCGTGAGTTCAGTCCCCGGAACTAATAAAAAAAAATTAAAGAATAATCAGTACCAATGTGGAATCATCTTTATTTCATGGTAGCATTCCTTATATACTTGTATGTGCTGATACATTCTGTACTTCACCTCAGTTTCATACTGAGTCAGTCAATACAGCTTTCTATTATCACAGTTCAATTTCCTTTTCATAAATGTTAGCAACTTACCTCACATTTTGATGTGCAACATGGTCCAGAACCACATTCTACTGAGCCTTTCAGTTTACATGTTTTATAATCACAGCAATTTTTAAATTGACATTCCTAAAATATCAAAAGTAGAAATCATTATATTCCAGGTAAAGTACTTAAGAATTCTTATTTCTAAATCCTAACTTCAATTTAGTACTAACTTCAGCTTATTTAATTAGATAATAATACATTCACTGAAGCTTTATTTTATTTTATTTTTTTAGAATATTCGAAAGTATATATAATTGAAAGAGCAAAGGGAATAGCATGTAAATTAGCAGTTTGTAATACTAGATAAAATATTAGAAAATTAACTCAAAACTAACATCAAAATATATCTCAAGGAGAGAAAAATATTGATTTCCACAAGAAACATACACATTCTTTAGTTCTCTTGCTAGGCATTTGCTTTTTAATGATTATCTTTGTAAAGAAAGATAAGTATAATAAATATAATGAAAATCAATGCGTATTTATCACATGTATTTATTCCTTTAGTAGTGTAGTAACGCCTTCTTTAGTCACTGATTTATTTTTCAAAACACCTACATTTGTTCAGCAGATGACTGGATACAGAATCTGTGCTAAACTTGATGGTGTTGGAGATCTCTGATGTCTCAACTGGTGACATGGATTCTATATACAATATTTTTTTAATTCTTGGTTATTACCTTTATGTAGATCAAATCACTCACTGTGATTTCACAGGTGGCCACTGTTCAGAACTTTGACCCTGTCCTTACAGCATACCCCAGCCCGATCTGGGATTCCCATCTCACTGAATGTAGACCAGACTGATTCCGATATTCAAGTATCTATTCAGCAGCACTGGCTCTAGGTTTTCTTTCCAGGGTTTGAAATCCTCATTCCCTAGCAAGCATCTCTCATTCGGGTTTATATTTTAGCAACTTGAAGTCAGCATCCTTAACATCCATCCCTGGCATGCTCTGCATACTCTCATCAATGCACATTATGAAAATCCCACAGTTTAAGAATAAGCACTTTTTCCACAACTAAAATGTCTTCTCATTTGGGTGATCCTTACATTTAACACAAATCAGTGCCCTAGAGACAATGAAGCAAGACCAGATCAGAACCTCTCCAGAGAAAGCACCATCCTGTGAAGTGCATCCGAAGTGAAGGCTCTGAGGCTCCAGGCAAGGTAAGACTGCTTTCCTCCTTCTTGGGGGCGACTTCACAGCCAGGAAACTAACAGGAATCTGGAGCTTACATTTCTAAAGGACATCTACTCAAATGTTCCCAGCAGTATGTGTTATGGTCTAGACGGCAAAAGATTCATTTTCAGAATCATTTTCTGAGTATGTTTCCTGCAATAATTTGTAGCAGCAGCTGGTGTGGTGATGAACAGATTCTGAATGGTAAAAATCACTGATTTGTTTCCTTAAAATAATATTTCTGTTAGCACATGTCTGTAGCATTCATTGTGGGAGTTGGCACATGAACACAACACATGATTCTTACATGTTCTCTTTCACTTCTCACCTCCGTCTCTTAGTCTCCTTCTCATTTGCAAAAGATCTATCTCCCTGTTGCTTATTGTCTGTCTTACATCTTGCTCTTTAATTTATTTAAACTTTAGGTCTCTCATCTACCAGACATTCGTGATATTTGTTTCATTTATTTCACTTCACATCATGGTCTCAGTGTGCATCCATTTTCCTAAAATTACTCAAATTTATCCTTTTATATAGCAGAGGAGTACTCTTTTCTGTACAATTACTACATATTCTTTATTAATTCACCTACTGATAAACATATACATAAACTGTAGGATTCAGATGTTTAATTGTACAGTTATAAACATGGGTATGCAGGTACCATTGTACTATGATTTCTGTACCTCTTTGAGAAAGACACCTAAAAGAGGAATAGCTAGCTTACATGGGATCCCTACTTTTTAATTTTTTGAGGAATCTCCATCCTGATTTCCATGATGGTTATACTAGTTAATATTTCCACAACAGTGCTGATGGATTCCTCTTTCCCTGGATGTCAGCATTTTCTAATATTTGGTTTCTTGATTGTAGCCATTGTTTCTACAGTAAGGTGTATTTTTATTGGCATTTCCCTAATGGCCAGGGATGTTGAACTTTTTTTCACGTCTATTGGATACCTGTATTTTGTCTTCTGAGAAGTGTCTGTTCAGTTCTAGTGCTCAGCAGTTGACTGGGTCTTTTATTTTGAGGGGGTCTAATTTTTGATTTTTTAAATATACTCTAGGTATTAGTCTTTTGTCTGAGGAGTGGCTAGTAAAAATGTTCCTATTCTGTAGATTGTCTCCTCACTCAGTCAGTGAAATCTTTTTGTTATACAAAAGCTTTTTAATTTTGTATGATTCTGTGTGTTGGTTCTTGTTATTTCTTGTGCACCTGTGACTCTGTTCAGGCATTCCTTGCCTATGATTATATCTTTAGGAGTTGCGCCTATTTTATCTTCCAGTAGGCTAAATGTTTGTTTTTAATATAAAGCCTTTGATCCACTTTTGTTGTAGTTTAGTACTTCGTGAGAGTTATGAGTCTAGATCCAGTCTCCTACCTGTGGATACCAAGTTCCCAGAACCATTTGTGAAAGAGATTGACTTCTCCCCAAAGACGCTCTTGATCCCTTTGTCAGAGACCAGCTGGCTGAATGTGTCTGGCGCTGTTTCTGCATCTCTTCTGTTCCATTGAGCCACGTGTTTGTTTTAGCATCAGTAGCATGCTGCTTTTACCACTTGAAGTTATAGCTACAGATATTTTATCTTTAGAAGATAACTTGAAAATTGAGATTGTAAGGCATCTTGATTTGTTATCCAGGATTGCTTTTGCTATTTGTGGTCTTTTCTGGTTCAACATGAATTTTAAGATTATTTTTTCTAGTTTTGCAAGGAATGTTGCTGGTATTTTCATTGGTATTGCATTAAATCTATATATCAATTTTTTAATTATGGCCATTTTGACAATATTGGTTCTCTCTACAGAGGGACAAAGTAAATCTTTTATTTTCTGATGACCTCTTGGGTCTCTTTTTTCAAGTACTACAGGTTTTTTTTTTTTTTTTGAAAGGTCTTTCTCTTTGTTGGGTCAACTTATAAATATTTAACATTCCTGAAGCAGGTATATTTAACATTCCTATAGCAGGTATATTATTTTTCTATTTTTTTCTTTCTGCTTCATTATTGGTGTCCAGGAACAATATTGACTTTTGCATTGATTTGCGTTTTGCTTTTATTTGCTTTATTTGCTTTTTGTTTTTGTTTTTGGTACTGGAAACTAAACTCAGGACCTTTCACTTACCAGGCAAGCCCTCATGCCACTGAGATATATCCCGTCTACCTTGCTGAACTTGTTTTTTAGTTCTGAAAGGGCTTGGGCAGAAATTTTGCTCTCTCATGCACAAAGGATGATGGCTCTAGGGTATGTGAATGCAGATTAAGGTGTGATGCCCGCATTAAGGATGCCCCCTGCCCCCCGTGTGCAGATGGCAACACGCACAATATGCTTGTAGCCTGGATGAAAACAGAGGCAGGATACCACTGCTTCACTGCTTTGCTGCCATCTGCCTGCTGTGCCACGGACTGTTTCTCCTTTCCCATGCCCCTCTGCCCGCCGGCCTGTTCTCAGACCAGCCAACCATGGACTGAAACCTCTACAAACTTTGGGCCAATGAGATATCAGGCATTTTGTCCCAGTAATAGGAGAAGTAACTAAGACATAAAAGTTCCATTTCAACAAGCTGTTCCCCTTCTTGGTATCTTCCCGAATGAGCTGAAAGCATCATATCTGCTTTTGTTTATGGAAGCAAAATTTATGATAACTGAATGCTGGAAATAGCTCATATGCCCATCAACAGACAGATGGGGAAAGAAAATGTATTTATATACAATAGAGTACTACTTTGCCATAAAGAAGAGTAAATGAGACACTTTTTGATAAATATATGCATCTCAAGACCATTACCTTAAGTAAAATAAATCAAACACAGGTTTAAATATCACACTGTTTCTTTTATGCGAGCAACCCGATGTGTAAATAAGAAGCAAAATGGAGGAGAGATATGAGAAACTAGGAAAAATTTTCAAATGGGAAGGGGAATAATTGATGGTGAAGGGAGAAAAAAAAGATTGTTAAAAAACAGAGAATGAAAAGAAAATATGGAAACATAGCTTTTGTAAATGGAAACAGGAAGAAGACTTGAAGAGAGTAGAGGATAGGAAAAAAAGAATTAAAATATACTGTGTAAAGAAGACACTATGAATGTCTTCCCAACGCGATCACTAGGCATGACAAACACGTATTAATAAAGACTAGAAATACACCACGGCAACCGTGAGTGTGCAAAGGTACTGGCAGGGTCCCGGGGCATCTGCTATGTGCCAGTCTGACTATAGCCTGTGGTTGTAGAAACTCATAGGGTGGAGATCTACCCAGACTGTGTTGTTTTATTCTGTTGCTCACTTTAAAAGCACCATTTATTGACAAGGAAATGCCTGGGTATCTAGTGGTAAGCAAATACAAGATGAGCACAATCATGCTTATTAGCAAAGTAAGACAGTTTTGAGGAATCCGTGCTGGGGCCAGGGAGACAGCTCAGCAGCATAAGCACCTGCCTGGCAAAGTACAAAGTCCTCAGTTTAATATCTGGTAAAAAAAAAAAAGAAAGAAAAGAAATCCATGCTAACTGAAAATCACATATATATACGGACCCTACATTTCCCCACAAGTGCACCATGACTCACGCACTCTGCATACTGGGTTTTACTTTGTGCAATAGAAGTTGACTAAGAGATCTTGTGAGTATTTAGTGTTTTTATTGGGGAAAATAATTTATATGCACTTGAGGGAATCATGAAGATAGTTTATTTAAATAGATGGGAGTCATTAAATATTCATGAATGATATTACAGTAGAGTAAATATCTGGTCCTTCCTGTTGAGAGTATTGAAATTTTATATTTATGAATAAACTGAAAAAGTTTTTCCATCATCCAAAACTTTGTAATTGCAGAAATGTTTGAGAATGATTGAAGAAAAACCATGATGAAATTGCTGCACAAAGAACAGGGAAAAGGACCATTAGCAGAACTTTGTGTAGGAAAAATACAGAATAAAACCAAATTCAATAAAGGCTGAAAAGGATTTCCATATTCAACATTATCTTCAGGGATGATTTGCAATAGCTATGCAAACCAAGAGTTCCTGCCACACTGACCTTCTGAATTCAAGAGTTTTAGGGAAGTTATTCATTTAATTTATGCTCATTTTAAGCTTCAGTAGTTGCATATATAATTCTACTGTTGGACTGTCTTATTAGAGTTGTAAAATTCCGCTGATTGCAGTATTTGTCACTTACCTCTTTATTACCACAGTCACATTCTTCATCAGTTTCCAAAATTCCATTGCCACACACTGGTTGATTTTGATAAAGGAGTTTCAAATTTGAAAGGTTGTGAAGACAATCTGCCTCCATTTTTGAAACAAAATATCTGTAGTCACGCATGCTACAGTTACTAAAAATCTTGTTACCACTGGAACTCCTGAAATAATATTCCTCAAGTAAATAAACTTAGCTTTAAAACATATCTAAACACTGTTCCATATACAAATTATATGAATCACATCATGACTTAAACAAAATAAAGTTGATCAACTAAAATTTTAATGTTAATTTTAAAATTTTTCAAAAAACGCGTTTCTTATGAACTACAATGATTATTATTTGTACTAAGAAATGCGTGGAATTTAATCCCCATTGTGAGGTATTAAGTGGGTAGGCATTTAATCTGATTTGAAGTGGAGCTCTTGAGGGGTGATTAGATAAAGTCCACTCCCATGCAGAGCACAGCCATCAAGATTCAATCCTGTGAGCAACAGGGAAGAGCAGAGGAGTCATAGCTGCCCCCTTTCTCTCGCCATGTGATGCACTGGTGGCCTCAGGACTGAAGGCCATCTAGAACTTGGACCACAACTGCGAGCCTAAATAAAGCTCTTTCCTTTCAAACTTGTGTCATCTGCAGTACTGTCATTTATAACAGCAAATGGCTGAAGACACAAGCGTACTGTGAATGATGGAGAAGACATCATTTCACAATGGAATGCATTCTGAGAAAGGTGTCAGTAGGTGACTTTGTCATTGTGTAAATGTCAGAGCAGTAGTTAGTGTTTGCATTCACACAGACTGAGGTCACTAAGTGATCACAGTAACCCTAAGGCACTATTGTTATATATACAAGGCCTTAACAGACAGTCTGGGATACATGACTACGTGTTTGACACATAAATACATGCAACTTTGATAAGACATGAGAAAACTGAACTGAACGTGAACTGATTCACTTCCTGGGAAGCATCGCCATCGTGACCTGCAGACAATCAAAATAAGGTGGCAAAAATACATTGAGTTCTCACACATAGTTCCAAATTTGTGGAAGGAAAAAAATTGAAATACATTTATTTCAGGAGAAAACAGATTCTACCACAGATTGCACCTTTTTCTGCATCCCATGAGCATTAACTTGGCAAAACCGCAACTCTCCCTGTTGTTTGGATATGCAGCTCAGAAGCTGAACTTGAACTAACCAAGCAAAGAGCCATGCTGATTGCATTGAGTCCGTCATCATAAATTCTAAGTACGTTTTCATAGTGCTTGAGAGTCCTAACACATGTCCCAAGCCATTTCCAGTTCCCAGTCGCCAACACAATTGCTTCGCCCCATCTAGCAAAGACCTTACATTCTTTGCTGTCAGCTTCCTAGTCATTTTGTTTTTACACCTCCACCAATCAAACTGTATGCCTTTACGCTTGTTCTTGTAACCTCCTATCATATTTAATAATAAATTACCCAACTCTAATAAAAATGTATCCACTAATTCCATCCTCTATGATTAACAGTGGTGTTACTATTCAGTTTCCTATCTGATGCCACCCTCTCCTCTTTACTCTATTCATCTACAGATAGCATGTGCTGTCTACCATCTCTAAGATCCTTTCCTTGACTTTACATCCAAACTCATACTGCCCCAAAATTTGTCTGTTTAGCATGCTACTTGATTACCTGTCATAGAACATATCAGATTTCTTTTAAAAACAATATAAAATATTTTTAGAATTATACTAAATTTAGAAATCTTTACTGGAAAAATTTACAACTGTAAAGTAAGTCACCTTATTTGCTTAGTGTTAATAGACACATATTGTTGGTTTTTCTAGATTCATCCACCCTAGTGAATTTTTTATATTATTGTTGCCCTAACTATGTAATGATTTTTCTAGGTGGACTATCATAATACGTGCAAATTAAGAACTTTTTTTCCCTCTGCCAACCTTTCTCCTCTTCCTTCCTCTCAATCCACTGGTCAAAGGTGCCAATACTATGCCAGATTATTAAGGATGATAATAGGCATCTTTGTCCTTACCAGTAAAGTCTGCAACAAAATACAGCAATAATATCATATGTTTACTCAATATTTCATAAGTTTCATCAGACTTAAATTTATCCATATAATTACATTGAGTGAAGTTTTTGATAATGAAATCTATCGTTTCAAAGCCTTGTGTCACATAGAAAACGTTTGGAACAATAACTTTTCAAGTACAATGTAACTTTCCAACTGGTGATATACTGATGAATATAACATATTTTAAAATATATCACATCTTGGATAAACTTCCTAATAATATATGTGAAATTAAATAGAAGAATTCTTACAGTGATTCAGGACTCATTATGCATGTAGTTCTTGGACAAGAACAATTATCGGTGTCGTTGTATGTTAGTCCAATTTGAAGGCCAAGCAGTTGAGCCATAATAACTGAAAATCCTTCCAAACTTATACCGTCTGGAAACTAAGGTGAAAATGAAGGGGAAAACCAATATATCAACAGAAAACAGAACAAAGTAATAACTTAAAGCACTTCCATTTCTATAAAACTTCTGTATTTCAATACTTTTCACAGTGGACATATATTATACTAGTTTACTTTCATATGTTATTGATATGTATTTATATACATATAGTAATTTACTCATTGAGTGGTGTAGTGTAGAGCCAGTGTCAAAAGATATCAAATTACGATATTCTCTAGTTTAAAATTTACTACATACAAATTCAAGCGCATCCTATTTTTTAAATAATCAAAGTAAAACGTAATTATTCTGCTTGAATGGTTCCAATTATAAATATGATTTTATTACATTCATGTGTCAAGCACTAATAGAGATCAGGGGAATGCACGACATACATGAAAAAAATGGACCTTTTCTACACTGAAAATTATTTATAGAAAGAGAGAAAGGCAAACAAGAATCTACAATCAATTTCTTATATGCAAATACATTATTAAAAGTGCCAGGAACAAAATGAAGTATTTTAATAAATAATTTTATGAAGATACATAAGGTAAGGCATTTAGATAAGGTACTTAGGAAAATCTCTTTGTAGAACTTCCATTCAGTCTGAGACACTAAGTTTGGGGAATGACTCAACAGTGTGGGTGTGGGTAGCATAACAGAATGAGGGCCAGTTGCAAGGCTGTCATATGAGGAGATGACAAGATGAGAGAAACCAGAAATAGAGCCACAACCATGAAAGACACATTTGAAGTATGAAGCTATTGAAAAATAGAAAAATACGATGTGTCAGTATATTATTTAATTGTGATAATCACCAATGATCTTTTCCTCATTTTAATTGCTATGAGAAAAAACTTCTCAGACCAGACTATTTCTAAATTTTATATATTAATTAAAATTTAGGTAGTACATATCCAACAGTGTATTGTATGACTAAAACTTTAGATCTACAACATAGGAAAATTGGTTAATAGGTGCCTTTTCCCATTATCATGTAACAACTGCGATTGCTACAATTCAATCGCTATGCTAGAATTTGAAAGGAGATTAAATCCAGACCAAGACATGAGCGATGATATTCAGGGTAACCATCTGGTTTGGGCACATCAGGTATAAGCCATCAGTTTCAGGTATGAGAAGACACAGTCTTGAATTTTTAACATCAGAAAATTGAAAATAAATTCCCAGGATGAAGTTGTGTAGCACAGGAGCACCTTCAAAATAAAATAATCTCATAGTCCAAGTATAAAAGAAGAGCAATGATAAAAACAATTTCAGTATAGAAAGAAGTCATCACTGCAGATTCTACCGACTTACAGGAGCCATGTGTGTGTGAGTGAGTGTGTGTGTGTGTGTGTATGTGTGTGTGTGTATGTGTGCGTAGAGAGAGAGAGAGAGAGAGAGAGAGAGAGAGAGAGAGAGAGAGAGAAAGAGGGGAGGAGGCGGGAGGGAGAGAGAGAAGAAAACAGAAACAGAGTGTGAGAGAGAGAGAGAGAATGACACAGTGGAGTAAATAAGTGAATACATAAAGTCTGTCGATTATTAGGATTGGGTGCATAAATTTAACTGTTTCACAGAACAAAGAGGTTGAATGTTACCATTCTTACCCCTCAAGCATATGAGAAAAGAACTATAATACTCAGTGACACTGAAGGACTACAAGAAGCTAAAAAGATGTTTCAGAATCATGCTCAAAGGAAAATAATTATAGAGAGTACAGCTTTTGTGACATATAGTATGGGGACAGTTGGAACTGACATAGCATAAAGTTAGGAGGGGGTTCATAGAAAAACGTTTCTATCTCTGGATTGGAAAATATAAAATATGAATATAAAGAAGTGACAGCTGCTAGATTAATAGAAAGTTCCAGAAAGAAAATAAGACTCTCTAAACTGTCTCCCCAGATCTGAAGGAATGTGTATGCTTTCACATGGCCTCAATATAACTTAGCTAAAGACTAAAGATCTGAACTGAGAGCAAAAGTACTATACTTAATATAAAATTGCTGTCCTGAATACAAACAAGGTAAAAACAAAACAGTAACAAACCTAATAAAACCATAAAATATCAAAGGGTTGACACCAGCGAACAGGATGGCACAATGAAAGGACCAAACTCCTCCTCCTCTAGAAACACTGAGTAAAGAACCACCTACAGATGATAAGAAGTTGGTCTCAGATTTGAAGTCCACTGAAAAGTGGGAGAAAGCAGTTTTTCCCTATTCACACTGCCTTTTCCCAGTTCTGTCACAGATCAAGTCTAAGAGAGGCTCTTGAGTTTCTTTCTTCTTGAAAAGAAGAGAAGCAAAATTCCACCCCTGTTTCCCAGGCCATTCGAGAGGCCTGCTTCTATCTCAGCCTGAACACAGAGGAAATGTTGGGAATTGGATCACCCAGGGGAAACCAAGGATGAAGAAAATGGACAGAGCTCAGCACTGGCACATGAACCCCAACAGCCAAGCTTGCCCATGCCCCTGTCCTCAGTCTGTGGCCCCCGTGGCACTGCCATTGTCCTCCGTGCCCTGACACATCCCATGTGCACCTGAGAGGCAGCGTGCATGTTTCTGCCTTGACCTCCCGAATCTGGGGAGGGCGCATATGGCAAGGCTGCTCCTTCATGAGAGCACAGGCCCATCCTCCTGGCTTCCCAGGGCACCATCCTTGGGAAAGGGATGTGTGATTCTCACTGCGTAGACTGACAGAAGACATGAGCTGAGAGGACTCGTGCAAACGTGAAAAAGGTAAGTGAACTCTCTAGAATCTCTATTCAGGCTCCCGGATGAAGGTTTTCCTGCCCTCAACTGAATGGGATCTCCGTTCCTTCAAATATACAAGAATCAATGAAAGGCAGAAAACATGAAAAATCAGCTAAATATAACATCAAGGGAAACTAATAACACTCCATTCGATAAGGATAAAGGGATACAGAGCTGTAAATTTCTTGACAGAGAATTCAAAATAAATATGTAAGGGTATTCATGAGAAATCAGAACACAGATGGAAATTAACAATATATGAATATAATTAAACATTTTATTTAAAAATAGGCATTGTTAAAGAATCAAAAAAAATTAGAGCCAATGAACAGAATGACTGATTTTGAAAATTCAGTAGTTTCATCAGCAGATTCAACCAAACTGAAGAAAGAATTTGAAAATATGTCATTGAAAATTTTCCAACTGGAAGGGAAAAAAAAACCCCACAGGGCTTGGGGGAAGAGGGCCCATGAACCAATGCACACTCTGCAGAGTAACAGAATGAGAAAAGCAGGGAAGGGGATTTATCTAAGTAATTAATGGCAGTCATGGGAGACAGCTGTGCGCCAAGGACACAGAGCAAATGGGAGGCGCACACTAAAAAGCCCAAGCACAGCAGCCAGCACGAGGAGCCTTGCAGCTCTGCCTGCCTCTCAGATGTCTGTGTGTGTGACTGTGTGTGTGCGTGTGTGTGTGTGTGTGTGTGTGTGACTGTGTGTGTGGAGTGTGTCTGTGCCCAGTGGGCGGGAGGAGGCCACTGCTCCCCACTTACAGATGCTTGCTTCTTACTGGGAGAAGCTCAGCTCACTATGGAAGCCCTTTCACAGTTACTGTGCCAGCATCTCACCAGGCAGACCAGACGGGTCTTAACTGTCTATGTAGCCCATGCTTGGTATCAAACTACTGATCTTTCTGCCTCAGCCTCCTAAATGCTGGGGTTAAGGAGTCACCAATATACCAGATGAAGCCTGGGGCCCCAGAGTATGAGAGTGGCTTTGCACATGCCCCAAATGCTGTCAACCAGAGTCAGCTTCCTGAGAGACTGGACCTGCCCTGCTGCCCACGCAGGCCCTGGAAGATCACCCCACAGCCCTCTCCACTGGTGAGAATCTGATGGTTGCGCTGTTGCTTTCTAAACACAGGGACGTGAGTTAGTGACCAGGATGAGAGCCCTGACATGGACAAAGTCGATGACATGGAAGAAAACCTGGGAAGCAGTGAGGAGAGGAGAGGAGAGGAGAGGAGAGGAGAGGAGAGGAGAGGAGAGGAGAGGAGAGGAGAGGAGAGGAGAGGAGAGGGGAAGAGAGGAGAGGAGAGGAGAGGGGAAGAGAGGAGAGGAGAGGAGAAGAGAGGAGAGGAGAGGAGAGGAGAGGACAGGACAGGACAGGACAGGAGAGGAGAGGACAGGAGAGGAGAGGAGAGGAGAGGAGAGGAGAGGAGAGGAGAGGAGAGGGGAGGAGAGGAGAGGAGAGGAGAGAAGAGGAGAGGAGAGGAGAGGAGAGGGGAAGAGAGGAGAGGAGAGGAGAGGAGAGGAGAGGTGAGGAGAGGAGACGAGAGGTGAGGAGAGGAGAGGAGAGGAGAGGAGAGGAGAGGGGAAGAGAGGAGAGGAGAGGAGAGGGGAAGAGAGGAGAGGAGAGGAGAGGAGAGGAGAGGAGAGGAGAGGAGAGGAGAGGAGAGGAGAGGAGAGGTGAGGAGAGGAGAGGAGAGGAGCAGCACCCCTTCTCCTCAGGAAGCACAGGCCCCTGGATTGTGAGGACACCTTTCAGTCCCCCACAGCTCGGCTACTTTTCACCTGCATCATGAAGATACACCGCAGGAAGCAGACAAGGGGAACAAGAGTGTGCATTTCATTGCAAACAATGGGAATAGTAGAGCTGGGGCTTTCAAACTGCTTCAGTTCTGGGATGAGGTTATGTTTTCAGTGAGGGGCCACAGGGTGGGTTTCCTTGGAGGATGAGAAACCTTTTCTTTTTGGGGGCTGCTGGTGGGCTGCTGCCTCTCACTGTCCTCCTCAAACAAGCAGGACTATTTCAGAGCCAGCAGAAGGCCTGGTTCCAGTCCCTACGGTTGTGGTTCCAGTGTCAGACTGAGTATCATGTCCTGAGTGTCCCAAGGGGACCGAGCAGGGCTTCTTGGTGCTGGTCTTCGGCATCTGCCGGAAAAAGCAGGATGCATGAGATGAATGTAACGGCCATCAGTACACCTGTGTTCACTCATCTGTGGGATGCAGATCCTTCC